CTCGGCAGCTCGAGCTCGATAATAGCTGTTTCTTTCCAGGCTGCCTTTGACGCCGCCTCTTTGACCCCGCTACTTTGGCGGCTCTGCCCGAAACGAAAAATTGACTACCGCGATGGGAGAAAACGGACGATGTGAAAGTAATTAACTCAGAGCTGCGCACTGAGTTTATCAATAGATTCAGGCATTTCTTCATTTCGCAGGAATTTGCCTCATCGTCGAGGCAATATTCGCGTCTTTAATTGAATTATTTGTGTCACGATTCAAATTAATGATTTTTATAAATTTGTTTATAATGTTTTTATTAATTAGAAACGCATTTCATCAATGTGTACAAAATTACAAGTGTTACAAAAAATTATTAAAGTAGAAATTTCATTAATTTATTTATATATGAAAAATTATTCAAATTACATCATTTGTATTCTTTTAAAAGATAACAAGTTATTCAAATTTGTTTATATATATAATGGGCTTTATCTCTCCTTTCTTTCTATTCTATTTAATAATTTTATGAAAGTTTTATAATATATTTAATTAACTTTATGAGTACAATTGCAAAGAATAATGTTTCGATTCTGCATTAAATGAAAGAGAAAATGTATCTTTGATAATTGAGTAATTGATAATGCAAACCAATACTTGAAGTTGCCAAGATTAAATCCAGTTTTCTTCGGTTTATTTTTCTTTTTGAGCGCAGGTGATGAAAATCTATAAACGCTAAAGTCTCAAGAGTGTCTTATAATAATAAACAATTAATAAGAGAAATTTCAAAATATAATAAACGTATCTCGTAAAGTTTCAAGTGGTTCGATAAAAAAAGGAGAGAAAATGCTCGAGCACATTAGATCATCGCGCTTGTTTCGCGGATAAACGATCGTGTATCGGGAAGTGCGCGTCTCCGGGATCAGATCGTCCGTAGCGTGCATTACCGATAAACACCGTGGCGCTCATGCGGGGGGGAGGGGAACCGCGGATTCGCTCATTGCAAATTTACGATATCCGCTTACGGCGCGCCGTCGCGCTTCGGCGGCGCTGATAAAAGTAGACGCGGCCTCCCCGCGAATTATCGCCGGTGAATTTACGGCGTTATCCCGTTATCTCGATTGGCGTCGGTCGTAACGTGTGTGTACGTCACTCGGAGGGTCCGGAAATGGCTACGGATGAACGCCGACAGCCAACGAGCGTACGGCTGTTCCGCACGGCGGTAACGAGTTCGGGACGAGACGTTATTCCGGCGAGGGGGTTTATGGCACCTGGATCCGGAGATCCGGGCACGCGAGAGTCGATTCTCGTCCATCTCCCCGGAAACGACAGACCGTTTTATGATTTATCCGTGTATTAAGAGGCGCCATGTACGAGAGCGGATCGTTCCGATCGAAGAACTATAGTCCGTCGAATTACGATGAAATAACGAACGGCGCGATCGAATGTTCGCAGAGTTTGCTGTAACAACACGTTAAGCGATTGGAATGAAGGGAAAGTGCTACTATAACATTAGCAGTAGCTTTAGAAATAAATGATATTTGGGAAATTGCACGAATAAACGTAAGAAACGGAAAAAAAACTGACGAAGTTAAAAAGTATGGGCGCGCGGTGTATTTCATGATTTATGTTGCAATATTTTCTAATGTAATTATCTTTTCGCAAAAACAAGTATAAAAAACAATGTTATTTATAAATTAACGTTAATTATTGATTAATAATTTCTTATTAAAGATTGATATTTTTTAATAATGATAATATATTTTATTGGTTTATTGACGAAGAAAATAATAAAAGCCGTGAAGTAAGACTAGTTCTCCAAGTATGAGAAGAATGAATTGTTCCGTAAATTCTTCAATTATCGTCATTTAAGAAAACTAAAATAGTTTCTCTTTTATGCGACGCGGATCGGAATAAGATCCGTGTACTTCTGCTTGGCCGCGCACAAGAATTTAAATTACACTGAACGAGATCGGGCGAGTAGACGACATTTGGGTTCTTTCGGTGGAAACATCGCGGTATGAAGTTTCTTGCGGCGGAGTTTTTACGGTGTACCATGCCGCGCGCGGCGCCGTATGGCTAAGCTTCGACGCCGAGGGTAAATGCGATCTTCTTCTCCGCGCGACGGGCTATAAAAGGACTAAGGATTGGCCGCCGGGAGACGTGAATCCTATTCCCTTCATCCCGTCGTCCTTCCTGTACGACTTTCCGTGGAGTTTCTTGCCGCGCTTCTGGAATCGTGCGCGGCGTGCATTACCGCCGTTGCCGTCAGCGTTTCCGGCCGCGCGGAAAAATACAGCGCGATCACTTTCGTCGTAAATGCACGTTGTATTATTATCCGCGATAACGGATTACAAGTTACGACCGTGCGCTCGCTTTTACGGCGCACCGTCGAGCATTCAGCGCGATTTTTATTCACCGCGAAACAATGCGGTGAAAATTGCAACGCAATGTCAAAGTGTACGCTTCAAAGCTCGCGAATTTTTTATTATTGTGAAACGTCACGAAGCCAGATCTCTTTGTTAAGAAATAATGAAATTCGAAAAGAAATTTGTTGTTAAGATATTATTCGCGAGATATTATTCCGGCGTATATTATACAGCTGTAAATAAGAAAAAATGTCGCTTGTCGAAAGCAATGTTCAATTTTTCATCATTTCTTTCCGTCTTTCAATCTTTTTTTTTTCTTCATTATTAATAATAGCATTAAAATTACTTTTCGGTCAAATTGTTTACATTGAGAAATGTGAACTTTATCTTATCTGAAAGATAGATAATGTTTCAAGTTGGCAAAAGAATTCCTCTTATTCAGCAAATTATTTTTGTCAATATCTCTCTATTTAACTTCCGATTTAACCATTCTAAAACTCTGGGAGAACCGTAATGCGAATGACCGTACTCCAGTTCAAAACCGTTCATTTCCGGAGAGGGATTTTAGGGCAATCCTTTTCGAGAGAAAGGATAGAGCCTCCGGCAATGCCTTGTTTATTCTCCGATGCTCGACCGAGGGGAACCTTCGCCCCGAGGCGGCCACATCGATCTTGCCTTTTACTCCGATCGGCCCACCCTCGCCTCTCACCCGCCGCGCGCACAACACCTTTGGCCCCCATCGAATCGCCGCCGACTGCCCACTTTTATTTCGCCGCAGCACTTCCACTCTTACACCGGAAAGCTTATTTATTTCCCGCCTCCGGACGCGGGCGACCTCGTATATAGTTTCGCATTCGTCCGTTTCCGCGGGAGGCGGACGGTGCAATAGAAACGGGCGATCGCAGGAAGGTCAGCTTTGATTAAAGTCGTTCTCTCCCTCACTCACTCCCTATTTCTCTTGTGCGCGGATTTCGGCAATATTTCTGGAAAAAAAGGAAACGCCAACCGCATCTGTCCCCTTTGGATTTCCCTGCGGAACATTTGCGGTCATGGAGTAATATGAAAGTTATATGGTTTTGTAATACCTTTACTCTTCGCGAACGACGAAGAAATAGATCGAACAGAAATAATTCGTTTTTGAGGTTTCCTGATCTCGAGAATGGATATTAAATTTTATATCAAACTGCAGAATAGGAGACCCCGAAAGAGAATGTGTTAAAGTCGTCCGAGCTTCATTTCGTGACATATTTTTCAATTAGTATTTAGTTGGGAAAATAAAAAAGGAAGGTAAAATCGCTGGTCCTTAAAACCCTCTTGTTCAGAAAAATTATTAATATATAGCTTCGATTTAAGGTATAAAACCTTTTTAGTAAATTAGGTTGAATGAAATTGCATTAGAAACATTTTATTAATAATTAATCCACCTCTAATAATGGTTGTAAAAATTAAAAAGAAATTGCTTCTTTACGTTTATTAAAAATTCTTCACATTTTTTTTTTTATCAAGGCTCTTCTTTTACGTCATTTTATTTGAAAGAGTGCGTTTTCGCATCAATGTCACGTCGTGAACTAAATGAGGACTGTTCGACGGGGAGCGACGATTCTTTTTAATAAAAATGGAACTCGTAATCGTCTTTTTATGCCGCAGCTGTCGCGCTCGCCAATTATATCAGCCTCTGAATGTAATATACATGAGAGGATTGAAGAGCACAAACAGAACGTCAGCGAGTGCTGACAACTCATTCCCGCGTCATTCACAGCTTCCCCCTTAGTCTGAGGGGGAATAAGACAATCGGCCGAACGTAATTTCCACAGAGTGGTCGTCGGCGCTCTGCTGACGCGCGCCGTTTCGCTCGTCGCGTGACACGGCGATTTAGTAGTTCTCGTATCCTAATTAAGAACTCCATTTTGCGATTCTTATTCCCGATAGAACTCAACGAGGTCGACGTTCTCGACATCGACAGTCGCTCGCAATTGGAAACTAGGCGTACTTGCACGTAGTTATCGAGCAAAATGCAGAGTTGAAATTAATTCGTGAAAAAATATCTGAAATTAAATTGTTGAAATGTCGGAAGGTAAAATTCCCAATTTGCGTGAAACTTATATTAGAAGTGCGGCAATTAAATAACTTTGCGAATCAATTTCCGAAGAAGAAAAATCTACTTGTTAAAAATCATCTGTTGGAAAAAAATTTGAGAAATTTTAATTTCAAAAATTACAGACACACGACTGTGCCGTCGCGTTAAAGACGAAATTAGGGTGTCTGCTTTCTCGTCGTGAGAACATCGCAGAAATTCGCGACGGCGCCGCAAAGATTTCTGATTTTCCGGTGGCGCCTCATAAAATGCGTGCAGATGCGCGCTTCGCTCGCAAACCAACATCGTTTTATACGGATACGGCGGAAATGTGCTCCAGGTTCGTCCTTAATGTTTCATTAAGTAATGGCCGTAGAGTTCGGATATACTCGTTTCCAACTCTACGGTCGGTTTGCCAGCCTTTCTCGCGCGCATCACCGTAATTAAAGTCAATATTGTAGCTGTACTTACCTAGGATGATAACTCAAAAGTAGAACAGTCGGAAAGGAGATCTAAGTAAAGCGGGATCGTGCCGCGAGGGTGCTCGGGAAGGAGTCGCAATATATACTTGCACGTCGTGTATGTATATGTATATATTTATAATCGCGGTCATCATAAAAGTACAATAATAGCTTTATATCAAATCACGAGGAAAAAGTCAATATTCACACGAGTAAACGTGGGCGATGGCTTCCGAGAATATCGATTCGCTACGGATCGTTGCGTGTGGCTTTACTTTTCCTTCTTACATTCGTCCCTCTTTTTTTTCTCATTTTCCTTATTTTAACGGATTTTCCTCTCTGTCTCTCTTCATGCGATCCCAACGAAACGGGGAAAAAATGGATACGAGCGAGAATTAAGAAACAGCCAGAACAACGCGAAAAGTGTGAAAGTATTAAATAAAACATCGGTATAGACAATCAAATAATAACAACAAACAAGTTTTACAAAAAGAGAACGCAATGCTTGTGCCAACGACATATGTGTTCGTGCCAGTTTGGGAGGTACTGGAATGTGACGACTGACGTGTCACAGGCGTATCGGATAACTGGGCGATCGCAGTAGTAATTGCGGGTAAGAGTCTGTTGGTTCCTTCGGGCGTGTGCGAATCGTGTCGATTAGTCGAGACTCAGTTTCAAGATGGAAGGACGGAGCTTTCATGTTCCGACGATCTTGTCTTCTCTCTTCTTTCCCTCTCGCTCTTTCTTGTCCTCCGCTCTCTGCTCGTCATCTCGCTATCGTTTCCTTCGCCTCCCCCTCCTGTGATCCTTGCGATTACCCTCCCCTATTCGCTCACTTGTTACTATTATCATTTGTACAAATATATAACAATATCCATTGATAATTCACGATTAACGATTACGATTACGTGGTCCGTGGTTTTCAGCCTAATGTACGGAGGCCACTTTACGTACGTGTCCCTTCACCCTAGTTAACGGAGTGTCGGTAGCCTTCCTGTGTGAAGAGAGGTGAAGAAAGAGACGTGCCTTTGTCCCTTCGATAACTCGACGGTCGCCGATTGCCGCAAGGATATTGCTGCGCGATAAGATAACGTCGAATGGATATTCAAGGGTGCTATTTCGAGCCAACTGGATCGCTTTCGGCTCTCGTAACGCGCAGCAAGACAGCAGCCTGTCCCCCGCGTTTATCCGCGTCGTTCGGCTGCGGTCTCGCTTGTTCGCGAATGCACGCGAATACAATCGACGAGGGGGCTCGGCGGTTATTTCGGGGACGGAAAGCGTCGGAGGGGGAACGCGAAAGGATGTGGGATCAAGGGCGTCACTAATCAGGCACTTTGAAATGTCCTTCACCCTTTGTTTTTCTCCTCCGCGTTTCGGATCAACGTCCGCATCGAAAATGTCTCGATGTGCGCGATGACGAACGACATCGGCGACGCACTCGACAACGACGGGCAAAAAAGTATTAATCTCTAGCTAAAACACATCCCCCTGCACATTCGCACGTTCACGCGATCGCATCAGGTAAACAGCAATCACGCTTCCTCTCACTCTCTCCCTTTTTCTCTTTTTACCTCTCTCGCTGTTCGCACAACATTCTACGGAGTTCTACTATCACGTTTTCGACAAATCTTCCTTCGCCTGCTCCTCCTCCTGTTTCTCCTTCTGTTCCTCTCTTCCCGCTACATGTTCACCACCGTTTTCCCATTTTCTTTGTCATCACAAATGTGACTACACGCGAAAGCACGTAACCTCTGACTCGCGAACCAATCACAATCGAGACTCGTCGTTCTCTCTGCGACTCTTCGGCAAGAGGTCACTAGCTACGTTCTTGTTAACGAGGTCTAAGTCATCAGCTCCGTCGCGTCATTGGCGTCCGCGTCTTCGGACGGCTCCACTTGTACGGCGAGCTGTGTGTATCCCATGTTGGCTTCTCTCCTGCCGGACCAAGCCTGCGAACACAGTGTAACACGCATATTTTATTGGCACATCCTCGTTAGAAGGATCGTTTTTACTTTTTCGCTACTGCGCAAGTCAAACTTTGAGGATATTTTTCAGAAATAAAAATTACTGCCTAATTTTGGTCAGACGTGTACCTGAAGGGCGACAAATATCGTTGCAAATAATGCGACGGACGCTAAGCAGATGGCGACCGCCATAGTTGTGGCTGCTGTTACGGCGAGCGAAGCCGAGTCATTGTTACTTGTCCTACCGTCGTATGCTTCAGAGATTGCTGTGTCGGTCGAGAATTCTGTCCCCGGTACTCTTCGCTTACCAGCCGGCGAGCTGTTCCTGCAGCCACCTGCGAGCATTAAAAGCATGTCTTCAATATTTATAGCGATACAATATTAGTTGATAAAACATTAACGGGAGTAAGAAATATTTTATTATTTAGAGAAACTATTATTTTTGCCGATAAACTGACAGCGCGATATTTGTTGCAATATTCTATCGATACGATCTGTTCTTCACACATTTAACATTTGAATGTTGTGTGAAAATTACCGGTTTCCGGGTCACAGAGACAGCACTCTTCGGCCTCAGGCCCCTTCTCGTTGCCCGTACAACAAGGCACGCACTGGTTGTTCAATTTATCCAAGTGCAGTGGTGGCGAGCACGCGGCGCAGCTAAATTTGCCGGGGCCGGTGCATCTTCGGCAGTCAGAATGGCAGCTTTTGCAGAGCTGGGTTAGAGAGTCGTAGTATTGCGCGCCCAAACACTCCATGCATAATCCGCCTTCCAGCATCGAATGAGGCGGACAGGAAGTGCACTCTAACGGACCTTCGCCTGGAACAAATATTTGCCCATTGAAAACAGCAAACATATCACAATCGATCGATTTCAATTTGATCGATCAAATTGGATTTAAAATCAAATTCAATCGATGTCTACCTTTGCAAGTGCGACAATAGTGGTGACACTTCTGGCAACCAAAATTGGACTTGAAGAACCCTTCCGGACATTCCGGATGACATTCGCCTGCCGCCAATTGCCAACCTCTCGGACAGGTGACGCACTGATCCCTCCTCGGCCCCGAGCACGTTTTACACGACAAATAACACTTGGCGCATTGACCTCTGTCGCTGTAATAACTAAAAAAGAACACGAGGAGCATATCAAAACCGTTCTTCACGATGTAATCAATCATAGCAATTGTTAAGTTGATAAGAAAGTAATCTTATCTTCAGAGTTAAAATTAAAGTAAAAGATTATTATTTCTTATTCTAAATTTCCACAATAATTATTGCAAATCGTATGGGTTATCTGTGGGGTTTATGCATTATTCCTCTCACCCTGATGCGCAGGACGACCTGCATTCTCCGCTTTGCAGTTGCAGCCCGTCTTGACAGGCCGTGCAATTCAGACGGGAGACGCAGCTCTTGCAAGTGTGCAGGCAGGGGACGCAAACCGGTCGCGAGGGCTGTACGACAGAGTAATACGCGTCGTCGCACTGAGAGACGCAGCGTTTGCCCTGAAGAAGCAACGGGTTCGGGCAGGATATACAGTGGTCCTCCGTGGGACCGGCGCAGGTTTCGCAGGACGAATGGCAGGGATGGCACTGGCCGTTCTCATAGTACTGATTCGTGTCGCAGTTGCTGCGACTCACGGGCGCGCACATACCCTTCTTGTTCAGGCTCCAGCCGTCGATGCAGCTGGTGCAGCTCAGCGTGGCGCAGGTCGCGCAACCGGGTGGACACGCCACGCACTCGCGCCGCTTCTTGTCCGCGGTGTAGCCCGCCGGACACGAGGCGCGACACGTGCCTGCAATGCATTCGAATAAGAAACCGTGTGACACCTCGGCAAATTTTCACGCACAATCGAATTCCGCAGCATTCTTATTTAACGGTAATTTGATCGAGTTTTTTCGGAGAAAAAAAATCTTCTTAAATTTCATTTCGTATAATAGCGATGTGAATTGTTATAAATCTGTGCTTCTACTAATTTTCCCGAGTGGGATTATGAATTGTGCGCTCACCGTTCAATGCAAACAGCCCGGTTCGACAGGCGATACACTGGTTCTCCGCCGTGCCGTTGCAGGTCTCGCAAGTAGAATGACACGGCGCGCAGTTGTAATCTTGCATCTCGTACGTGAACGGCGGACACGCGGCGTAACACTTGTTCTCGTGCATCACCAAGTGATGCTCGCAGCTGGTGCACTTGTCCGGTCTGTCCTGGCAGCTGGCGCAGTTGGCCTCGCACGGCACACACGTGCTGTTCTCGGTATCTGTGCAGGAAGACGCAAAAAGCGCGCGTTACAATTTTGAAGCGGAAAGAGAACGGTGGAAAAAAAAAAGTGATCGTCTAATGGAAATACAAATTGATTTCTCTTTCTCTTCCACGTACTTTCGTAATAGCCTTCGGGGCATTGTTGGAGACACACCGCCAGATCGGTGACTCGAAGGTGAGCGGGTGCACACGAGAGACAGGAATCCTGACCGGCACCCGCGCAAATTTCGCAGGACTCGTGACACGGCCAGCAAACGCCGCCCTGATTAGGGAAGCTTCGTGGCGGGCAGCGACTGACGCATGTGCTGAAAAAAAGATAACACCTCGCGCTGTTTCTAAAGCAAATTTTGATTGAAAAGAGAAGAAGAAGAGATTTAAAATGCAAATTGGCAAGTCTGTCGAACTGATGCGCGGATAAAACGTATAAATTAAAAACAAATATTATTAATGAGTAGATTAGTTGAACTATTAATATTGAATTACATGTAAGTTGGTTTACTTAAACGTCCTACCGTTGTAATCCATAGTTTCGTAGCATTGTAAAATTATACTTTAAGTTTCATTAGTCTTACGAAGACACGCGCAGTCGGTGCTGTTGCGTGTTGATAATCGAACAGTTAAATTTGACAAAACACGACACACAAAACTCCGCTTACGGAGACGAAAACGTTTTACCTTCAAAAATCAGCAAACAGGCTAAAATTCATATGCTTAGAGAACGGTGAAGGCAAATTGTATCATTGAAAAATAGTGCAAAAATGAAAAAAAAATGTATGCACTCACTTATCGAGACGATAATTTTTACAGGCAACGCACTGCGTCGGGCCCTTGCCGTAGCAGCCCTGCGCGTCGCACTGAGGATCGCAGTCGTGCAGTAGCCTTTTGGTGGTGTCGAGGGAGCCGCCTTGTGCAGACGACGCCGCAGACGGTGAGTCGAACGCGGACGATGAGACGTCGCCGGGTAAGCGATTCGTTAAGAGCGGCGCCGATGAGCCGTCCAGGGTAGCCACGGATGCCTGCACGTTCGACGCGGCGCCAGCGTATGGGCCCTGGTAACTCTGTAAGGTAGACGAAGAAAAGAAGTCGCTATTGCCCGGATAACCGGACAGCGGGTCATCGTCTACCGTAAACGGATAATGCACGGAATGGGAAGGAAGGTACGGAGAATGTACCGGGTTAAACTGTCGCGTGCGTATCCGGATCGGGTTCGTCGACGTGCCGTAGAAGATCAGCTGCCACTTCTTCAGTATACCTGCAACAAGATTGGCGACACGGCCGAGTTACGGCGAGGCGGTTCTTGCGGGGCGTCGACGAGACACGCGAAAGGAAGACTCGAAACGAAATAAAAACGATCGAGATTATTAAAACTGACCTAGATAAGAATTTTATTTCATTCAAAATGATATGAGTTCCAGAGACTTGGAATTATTAAGAAAAGAAATTAAAAATGCATCTGCTCAAATTACAATTTCTGGAGTCGAAAATTTTATTTTAAGGAAAGATTTTGAGAACAGTAAATATTAGATCCAAATTCAATCGATACTGGATGTTTTATTTAATGTTATCGCTGCTAATTGAATATATAATCTCAAAGAATATTTTCAGAATAATAATTATAAAATATTATTGAAAATTTGCATTTTATCTTGCAGTAAAAATTAGTTATCGAACTTCTCACATAAAATGCAGATTAATGAATTTACATGTACGATTTTAGAATCGATTGGCAAATAGAATCTCGAGAAAGACTTGCCAGGTGAGTTGACATGTCGATTTCCAGCATTGATGATCTGCAGAGTCCATCGACCGTCCGCTTTCTCACCCCAGAAGTGCACGCTAAGGAAGGGCCAGTCATCGAAGTTGGAGCTGAGGACGTCGCGCGGCCGTTCGAATAATAAGGTCGACGTTGTGCCCATCGGCGAGGTGAGTAAAAGCCTCAAGTTTCCACGAGGGAAAAATCTTAGGGAAACCTGTTTTACGAGAGGCAATTTATATTTTGTAGATTTAAGTTGGCCTTTAAATAATATAAACGAAAATTACAATATATACAGAACATGAGCAATTTTAGAAAATAGCTGTTACTATTTTTCAAATTTATGTGTGTAGAATAAAAAGATGAGATATAAATAAATAAGAACGTTAGAAGAAATCTAAATTTTTTGTTATTCTTTGCCGGAAGAATTGAAGAAAACTTTATTGCGAAAAATAATCTCGCAGAACCGACTCTTTCCAAAAATTAAACACGCAATTGTATTTATCTTTTCGAAAAATGCGGTCTCACCTTGCACTGCACGTGCTCCAAGAATCGTACTTCATTCAAGGATCCGGCGCAACCGGTGACATCCATATACACGCTGAGAGTGTAACCGTACGTGGGGTCAATCGGTCTCTCCTCGTTGATCTCGTCAGACTTGCAGATATGCTGGGGCGGCACGTTGGTCCACTGTTCGGCCAGATTAACCATCGCGCCCGCGTCCATCAGACCGTAGCCGAATTTGTGGGAGACCTTTCTCTTCACGCCGTTCAGTATCCAGCCGGGCTCGTTGCTCAGAGGGTCGGATCTCGAGGTGAGCACCACCAAGTACTGCATATCTCGCCACGTTAGGCTGGGATTCGCCTCGAGGGCGAGCGCGGCGATGCCGGCGGCCAGCGGCGCCGAGGCAGATGTGCCGGTGTGCTCCACTGTGCAGATGTGATCGGGTCGCAGCTTGGCGTCCATGTCCACGGTGGCGACGCTCTTGTCGTTGCCGGGCGTGCCCGATGAATACGTGGACGCCAGGGTGGAGCTGCACTCCTCGAGATACCACGGCTTGTAGCCGCCTTGGGTCGCGCTCGATATCGACAGTGTGAAAATGCTATTCGTGTAGCCGTCGCAGTTGCACGAGTCGGTGTGTCGACCGCCGTTGCCCGACGCCCACACGAAGATCGAGCCCTTGCCCTTGCGACCCTACGTGAGAAGGAAAACAATATCGCAAGTGTTCGCGGAAATAAAACGCGCGATGAAGCGATAGGATACGTGAGCGGCTTCGTAAAACGATGAGAAGATACATTTATATATCAATATAATGTAATGTGTAATGACGATAAATTTATTCTGCAAGTCAACCGAATAAATGAAGAATATTTTATTTCCTGACGTTTAAAAAAGAATATCTTCATAAAACGGAATATATATATTATATATTTGTTTTAATAAAATTGAATGCAAAATAAATTTTGTGGAGAAAATATTACTGCGCGGCATATTATTTCAATTAGTATTTGCTCTATGAAAAACATTATTTTAATAATGTTACAACGCATGCAGAAAGCTATTGACCCGCGATATTATTTAGCTTGTAACATTGTTGTTTCTATAATTATAGAAAACAGAAATTTCAGAAAAAAAAACGCAATTTACACTGCCGCTATCTGTACGTTAAGCAAATTATTTTCTGATGTGAACCAATATTTATTTCAAAATCGAAAAAATAATTTGAGTAACTCAATTTATTTAAACTGTCGGACTTTTTCCTACAGATATTTATATTTTTCCCACAATCAATATATCCCGCGTTCAATTAAACGTATAGATCAATTTCACGTGAATGTAATAACTATTATTTTTTTTCCGACTTTGACGAACCGTCGAAAAGACGGCCGGTTTTAAATCCTCTCGAAGCGATGGAATAAAATGTCGGGGCGAGAGAGCTCGTGACAAAAAATAAATTGATCCCGCCGCGTGGATGCGCGCGAGCAAGTTCGCGATATATGTAGCTTACGCTCGTCACTCCGTAAATAAACGCCCGTCTGGCGAGAGGGCCCGGACCGTCGACCGTCTTGCCGTCGTCCTCAGGACCCCAGGAAGCGCTGTATATGTCGATGTGATCAGGATTCAATCCCAGCGCTCTGGCCTCGACGGCGTCGTTTACCGGGCCATCGAGCATTCGTACGCCTGAAAACACGGGAGATATGTGCGTGAGTGAAGTCTTCTCCTCTTACCCTTTCACGCTCTTCTTCTCTCGCGTGCCGCGATTTCAACTCGCAGGATGCGAGTCGGGTGCACGCGGGCCGCTAATATCGATTTGAAAAATAATCGAGCAATCGTTTAGAATCCAGAAAAAAGGAAGCGCACGGCCCTAATTTTAATCCTTTCGGACCATTTTCGTTGCGAGTGAAAAAATTATATATTTGTCATATAAAGTTATATGTCGTGTAAGATGAATGCGTGAATTGGATCGGCGAGCACAAGGCGATTTGAAATATTTCGTACAATTGAGCGCATTTGCGTTCACTTTATTTCTAAATAAATTTAAGTGAATACAAGCGAATCTCGAATTGATGGTTAAGAATATTGCAAAATATTCAAAAACAATTCACTTTGCCCGCATTTACTTTATTTTCTTAAGTACCGGAAACAAGTCTTTATATAAATGATGAGATTTTCATAACATAACTATTTTTAAGCTTAACTAACTTTAGTTACTTTCTCTTATCTTTTTTACTTCCTCAACTTTTGCCTGTCTGTCCGCGCATTCTTTATCTACTTAAAGTTTGCATAATCAGCCATTTATAAACATCCTTTGGCGGGAGAGACGGACTTAGATCGTTATATTTCTATATAGATTGCTATATTAAGATTAATGTTAATTGGCAAAATTCCAATCAAACATCCAATTACCAATCTATCTCTAAACGTGACGCATTTAAGGAATATTTTGACGTGGATCAAGCTTCGTTAATCGCGGCATTCGAAATTGAATTGACCAAGATTCCCGTTTAAATCCCCGATGAAACTAACGAGCAAACGCTTGTATCACGGACGTTTTGATTTTTGCATAAAAGTATCTCATAGACACACAATGGCCCTGATTGCAACCGTGACATCCGCCGTTATCCGTTACAATCGAGATCACCGTGTATCACGGCACTAACGAAATTTCACGCCGGCGCGCAGCTCTGCACGCTATACCGAAATTTCTAATTTCGCTGCGCTTATACGACCATCAATTCCTCGAATTCAATATCGAGATATCCGGCTAACGCTGTATCGTTCCAGCGATACACCCCCCTCCCCTCCCCGCCCCTCCATCCCGTCCCTGCTTCGCTCGTTGTAAGCCCCGACGGCTTACGAACGTTCGTTTCGAAGTGGGTTAACGAAATTAATACGGCTCGATAGCATCGAGTCGGGGAATAGCGACGGCGAACGCCCGGAAAACCTGGCCTATTCTTCAGCGAGGTCGAGACGATAAAGCGACCACCACCAGGTCTGACATTTCCAGCGGTCGCTGCGCTATTTATTTCCGCGGACCGATTCGCCGACTAAGTCAGCGCTGGAAAGCTCCCAGAAGGATTCGCTCACCCGGTAGAGGAAAAGACAAATATCACCGTCAAGACAACGACACGAAAGCTTCCCCGTACGTCGCATTAACCGATTACTATTATTAAAACCGGTGAAACGCTCCTGATAATGCAAATTCACCTTCAACGATTTATTTGTTTCTTCTTGACGTACGTCGTATTTGTACTTCATATTTATTTAACGGATTATTAAAGTCTATGAAAATTAAATTATCTTAAATTACACGCTGATTAATACATAACATATTAATTTTCAACGACTATTTGAAGAATTTTCGCTTCTTTTCATAATTGATATGAAATTAATGAATCTTGCAATTTATAATAAATCTTGATTCAATCATTCAATCATTAAGAGAACAAACGGTATTAAATATTTTAACATATAAAAATATGAAGAATGTCGAGTTTTTCTGTTAGTTTAAAATATGAAATGAACAAAAGGTTCGAGCTTTATATTTAAAAGAGTCAATACATTGTCAGCATTTGTACGCCGGAATTGAGATGAGCACATTCTCATCATCTGAAATACTAACATCCCCGGATAACAACCTATCTCGAATTTCAACAAAATCCGTCAGGACGTAAAATAGCTCTAGCAATTTCTGGTCTATCAAACGCAGAGGTATAAGGAAAAGGCAATATTGATCCGCCACGTTATCCCACCAATGCGCTATTCAATTTTCACGTTATCTACAAGATATACACGTTGTAATTTAGGATGATAACCTAATTTTTATGCGACTTCAGTGGCGGCACTATTAATCAAATATGAGACACGCGAGAGAGATTTTAATAAATCAAAAATTGTTTGTGAATTGATGTAAAAAAGAAATGACATGCCGAATGAAATTCTGTCGTTTTTAAAAACATTTCTTGTCTGTTTCGATTTTCTGCGCAATTTTTCTTACCTCCGATGCTGGCATTATATGCGACGCCGACGCCGCAATACTGGTTGAAGGCGACAGCGGCGACTTCGCCAGCACATCGAGTGCCATGCTTGTTGTCACCGTTATCCCTCGGCATCGGATCGTCGTCGTTGTCATTGATGTCTGTGCTGGCCTGATGATCGTAGTTAAGCGCCAGATCGGGATGGTTGGTTTGGATACCGTCATCCAAGATTGAAACGACGACGCCCTTACCGGTGTAGCCCTTTTGCCAGGCCGGGCCGAGATTCATGTCATAGCCATCCTTGGCACCGCCGTTCTACAAAATGTCAAATTTAACTTATTGCGCAATAATTTAACGAAATGATATATCACTTTATTTTCTATCAAATGAAATGCAAGAAAATTTTAAACCTTCGTCGAACTTTCCTTCTATGTGAATATCTTTATAAAAAAATTATATATTATGTAGAAATTTTTATTTCTTCGTAAAGTTGTAACTTTTATATATCAGCGTCAGTTTAAATTAAGAAAATTTGAAATATTTTAGCGCTGCCAGAAAAGAGACCACTTAAAATTGAGGGATTGTATATTTTACGAGTCATGTCTGCACAAACTTCTTCCTTTACTACTTAAATACAGAGCAAGATCTCTTAAATCAGTTAAAATTCATAATTCCATAAAATAAAAAATTCATAGTCTATTCTTATCTTCGTCTAAATTAATTTCCATTACATTTAGCGCACAAATTCCACAACCATCTTAAAATTAAAATATTAAGATTCATTTCTTATTTTTTTTTTTACGAGCTACAATTGTTTCAGTCAAGCAGCGTGTTTCATTATGCATGCGTTTCATCGCGTACTCTCATAAACGTAAAAATTTCACATTGTATCGTGAGCGCAAAAAATATTTTACTTCAGCTGAAGATCACGATGATAAATCGCGCGCAGGGCGGTACGTGATACTTTGACAGGAATTAATTCGCGAATTTCATGTTGCCGCGCACGGCCGTTGATTAATATTTGTGTAATGCTATACATCCCCCACGCGCTCGTATATGATTTCGTGGATTAATGGATTACTAGCCGCACGACAAATTCGGACGCCACAGCTTTCATAGCGCAATCTGCGATAGACTGGCAAACAAGATAGCCGGCGCCTTCAATTTGTGGTTCTTGGTGGAACTCGATTTTGAAAACCGTATCAACTGCATGAAATTTTAGTTTTCGACTCGCAACTGTCATCAATTTTACACTAATTTTACCTCTAAATATTTAATAATGTTTTCAAATTATTTAATCTACGGATAATGCAGAAAGTTAACATGCTCGAGCGAGGATGCCATAAATGGATTTGTCTCAATTTGAAAAGCTCATAATTCGCAACTATGGCAGATTCCCATCTGGGATTTCTCAATCGCGTACCACACAATTCGAATAAAACTATCAACTACATGAAAATTCCATACAAATTTCGACAGAGCTTTTCCCGATATTGCTGTTGGTGACCATCTAACGCTATATCGAGCTGGGAAAAATATATGCGAGACGCAATTCGAGCTGTGCAACGCGATTTGTGTCCTCTAACAAACGTTCGTTTTATGCATTTATAATGGATTGATTATTGCGGTTACGGTTACGAATGGCGTTTTGCATTTGCGTCATGAATTTGCGTAATAAATGTATGGAATGGAAATGCGCGAATGTTCCGTACGTGTTCCCGATGAACGCGCGAGTTCGCGTATGATCGTGCGTCAAATCATGACGAAAAAAATTCGCGACAGCCGCGCGATAAATTCGTGTGCTTGCGTGGAATAAACACCGCGGTCCTCATAGATTATCTATCACGAGGCTCGGGGCTCGTTAAGAATTGTAAACACGACAATCACATTAATCAGAGATGAACAATTTATCATTCTAACTAATTAATGACACGTATAATTGTCATTTAAAAAAAAATAATTGTTAAAATTATGATAAAAGAACAGCTTGAAAAATTTAGAATCAAAAGTAATCACGGTTTTCTTTGATAGTGAAATAAGGCTCTACTTTTTAACGAGTGCATGTTTTTTTTATCACAAGAGATTCAGTGACGTGAAGAATGAATATTTTGCACAGTGAGTGTCTCAGTCGCAGTCCTGATTGCCGCACACGCGGAATTGCGCGTTTTTGCTCTCACACCGGGGATATAATCTCGGACTCGTGTTTTCCGACGGGGATGTGCGTTTCTGCATGTGCATCGTATGCGAGTGGAGCGAAACACTTTCGCGGAGTGCATCGCGGAGCGGCAAGAACACGAGGTCGTTCTCTAATCTCTACGACTGCGGACGTTTTTCCGCTTGAATCGCGCAAGATGCGAAGCAGACAGAATATGTGCACGCCGAATGCATGACTCATGCGCCAGCAAACGATTCCTAATCTAAAGCTCATTTCACAAAAAGCTGACACAATTTCTGTCAAAGTCCTTTGCAACGAATACATTAACTATTATTTATACTGAAATCAAAGCCATTTAAAACAATTGGAATAATGCTAAAGTAATAATTATTATGCGAAATTTGCGGCCTTAATTGCCTTTTATCGTAAATTTACATACGCAAATGTAAATTCGCGTCTCTTAATGCGACAAAAATTTCAATGGATTTAGATTAACGATTCCCCACAGACAGTTCGTATATTACCAGAGGACTTTCCAATAGCGATACACTTGGATCTTTGGAGCAAAAAAATCTGTTTTCTCTCGAAATGGGGGGAAAAAAAGCGTGCCGCGAGGAATTTGCGATTCAAAAAACGCCGGAGACTGGTAATCCGAAAGGTACTCGTTCCGAATCTAATGCGTTGAATCCGCTTCATCGCATGTAAAAGCGCATGTAAAAGGACACGTTTCTCTTGATTCCGGCCCTTGTACGTTACGCCCGTAGCTCATCGAGATCCGGGGGACAGGCAGAGGGGCGGGTACGTGTTCTCGTTGCAGAAACACACTGGCAGCGAGGGAATGTGCCAATCTCCGCGTCGATGCACCTTTCCCGCCGCTGCTTTTTTTACCGAGCCGTACCCGTTGCTGGGCGCGTCGCACGAGCTCCGTTTTCCCTGCGATTCCATTAACTAGATTGCGCATTGTCGTGTTCGCCCGAGAGAAAGACCGGGAGCACCGACGCGTGTCGTTCGCGTCGCCGCTTATCTAGCCTGAGATTTCGACAGCGCGAGTGGACGAAGGAGAGAGCGAGAGAGGGGGAGGAATTGTCGAGAGCGGCTGTGTGCTACCCGAGAATGCAACGGGATCAGAACTCGATGGCACGAAGAGGAACTCGTCACCAGACGAGACGTGCGTTGTGCAACTGCGGCTATCGTCGCTCTAGCTGGTGCAGTTACGAAAACCGTCGACGTCGAGCTGCACCAACTATTATCGATATCTGATGTGGACGTCCGCGAGTTTCCCAGTCGCCTCATTTCACTCTAATAAAAGCCTTTACTTAAAACAAATCCATTCAGCATTTTTCGCGGAAAAATTTATACTTATATATATTTATTGATCTTTCTGAACTGTAAATTAAATAATAAAATTACTTTAGCATCATATATCTAGATAAAAAAAAGGTTTTAGTTTATAAAATTGTATAAGAAATAATTTCCTGTCGTCTCGCAAAATATTGAAGATACACGATCATGGAGGAACGGAAGAATTCTTGACCGCGTCTCGCTTTACCTCCACGATGCGTGGGTATCGATCGCTCAGCTGCTTCTTCTCCGACGGGTCGACGCGGGCAAAATTATCCAGCAAGAAACGCCAAATTTACGGGCGCCGGGCATAAGAGCAGCCGTAATGCCGTCAGTATAGTGTGGAGGATGGGCGCGGACGAGAATGGGCTCGTGCACACATTGTGGGCGCATATTGTGCCAGGGAAAGACAATGCGGCCCATTGTCTCTTGCGACGCGTGCGGTCGACCCGGTAAAAAAAAGGACAGAAAAAAAACCCTGGGGAACGACCCGGGACTGCGAAAAGCCCCGTTGCTCTGTTCGCTCAGGCGTCTTGCACGCGGCCTGACAAAAGCGATTCGTCCAGACGAAACGTTCCCATGCCATGACCATAGACACAAGAATATAATAAGATAAAGCGGAGTCCCTCGCTTAGAGCGTTAGCATGCAAAGTCAACAAAAAAAAAAAGCGCATAAAAAATGAAACTCAATTCCAGACTGTTGTTTCCTTTTTGAGCTATGGCTCTCTAAAAAAAGTAGTGGAATTTAGAAAGTATCTTAAACCGAGAATCTGAAGTCTAAAACTAGCAAAGCAGTTAAAAATTGCAATGAGATGTTTAAAAAAATATGAGAAGAAAAATCGATCGAGTCCAGAAATGAAGAAATCTACAAAATACTTTATATCTAATAATCTTATGAAGCCTGTCGACTTTTCTTTTGAATCTCCCCTCTATTTTCCTTACAGCAGATTTCATCCTCCAATGCAATCCCCCATCGTATTATGATTTTGCCCGGAATATGAGGATAAAGTATAAAATATCTACTTGGATGATATTATCATATGTTGGCCATATTGGAAACCGGCTGCGAGTCTAGATAGCGGTTTCCTCTTTCCTTCCACATTTCCCCGTCGCAGCACGGCATCCAGCCGCAAGCGTGGATAAATAACTCGTCTTTAATTACCCACCAAGACCAATGCCAAATTCAAATAGCGTTCAATTACGCGTCAGACATGCATTGATAAATAATAGAATGATACGGATTTATACACGAGCTGGAGATTTTCCGTTCATTTATTAATTCGTTTTCGACTATTCCTGCGCCAGCCGATACCAAGTATTAGATGCAGTCTTTCAGCTTACGTAAACCCATCACGGCTCCCCATCACATCTTGGACGACGCTCCGGGCGCGTTACGAATACCGCACCCTACGATTTTACACGCGGCAGCAGTAATTTCCGCACTCGGGTTTCAAGTAACGGCATACTGGGCATCGCCGTTCGTAAATATCGAACTCGGATACAGAGATTCGCCCAACCTGCTCGGATTTCATACCCCGCGATACAGCGTCCATTATGCGTAATCATGATCTTCGCATTATATTACGCATTCTTGAATCTCTTAAAGCCACAAATTTCCCAGAAATATTTATATAAAATTATGCGCAGCGGGGAGCGCAAATATAAATAATTATATTTGCCACAAAAATCAGACTTGCTCTCATAAATAATTGTGTATATAAAATTTGCCAGGCTTTCGGCATTTTATTTCAACCGCGGATTCAAGGATCAAATTCTCTTCTTCGATTGTCTGTTCGTTTGTTCTCGAAGAAAGATGATTACGCATCATGTCTCTTCATAACTTCAAACAATCAATCATCAACTACAATTCTGTTGAAAAAGTCCACTTGAAAGTGAAGGAAGAATAAGCTTTTCTAGAAAAGAAATAATTAAGAATCGTAATCTTCAACTTATTTCAGTAACAATCTACAACATTCGCAAGAACAAACAACCGGGACGTTCCTTACGTCTCTCGGACGTTCGCCAATGAAAGCAGCTGAACAGTTAGAAGCAGAGCACTCGATATAATCGAGAAGTTCTCGGACAACTTAGGCCGGGACGCCGCGCTGGCGGACGGCGAGAGAAAAGTTTCCGTCGAATCGGGCGAGCCTGCCAAAAGCTAGCTGTCCGCTTCCGTTGTTTCGCGCCCGTTCCGGATGGCACGGCTGCGCACTATAAGCTATTTACGCCGTCGCAAGAAAACGTGTGTACGACACGACGGCTCCATTAAGAGCCGACTGGCCGCGCGAGAAATAAGTTCGGGCGCGAGATGCACTTGCCTGCACCAGCGTTGAGATTTATTGGTCTTATAAAGGAAATCCTGATTCCCCTGGCACTTATTACTTTCGCCCTATCTATCGTTTAACTATCCAAAAGTAATTTAGAAGATATCGTTTAATATTTCAAATAATAACCAAATATATATTGAATAATTTTATTTATCCTTTTATTTAGATTATTGAAAATATCAATGAAGAAAAAACTTAAAAAGATTTATAATAGAAGAATATAATAGTAGAATTCTATTAAATATGTAGATTTTTCTGGTCCTAAAGAAATTTTAGATCCAACAAAATCAACATGCGATAAACTTTCTTTTAAAATTAAAATTTATGAATCACTTTTGCAGAACATTTTGATTAATTGCAAAATTTTTTACACTATTGAAAAGTAATCCTAATGAAAAATAAAAGTATCCGACAGTTGCATAACGTTGGATAAAGTAAATTACTTTTAATTTACAATTAAATTATAATAATATTTAGAATGAAGGATAATCCCACGCAAGCGCTTTAATGGTTAAATAACGAAGCGGTTCAATCCGGCGCACCCTGAATGCGCTAGGCCAATCAGTCGGGGTTAATTTGGAGCGATTAAATCGCGCGACCGGAACGGGAGAGCGATGTTCCGTCCGGCGGGATAGCGAAGCGGAAGAGGTTTAAAACGCGGGACGCGCCTGTTTTCGATAATCTGGAACTGGGCCGTCAATCGATTCAATAGTTCTCGCTCAATAAGATCGCATTAGTCGTGGCCGATAATCGGATAGCAAACACGCTGATTGACTGTTTGCATGAAACCGGAGTAATTACCGTGATGATCGCTTAATGCGCTCGCGATTATGCGCGTCGAGTGGTGTTTCGCGCGTGCTTTGTTTTAAGTGCAGCCAAGTCGTAATGGCCGCGCACTACCCTTTCGTGGTGTAACAAGATATGTAGTACTTCGACGAATAATTAATCTGCAGCTAAAAGCTACACGCGATCTGTCGGGACGAATAAATTATTATTGAACTTGAAAGATGTCGTTAGAATTGATGAGTTGAATAATTAAGATTATGCTATAATAAGTGAAAATAGCGGACAATATTTTTATCTGGCTGAAGGAATTAAAGAACGCCTGACTGTGGACTAAAATATCGCTCTCACCGTTATTAACTAGTTATTTTTATTTTAATTATTACGTAATAAACTATTTATCAACTGCGCTGAAATACGCGACGAGCTTTTATCGAATAATTGAATTCTATTTCTTAATTGACGCAAGCAAAATAATATAATATCTCACACCTTTCTTTATGCACTCATTCCGGCAGATATAAAAATAATATATAAATTTCCTTGAGCTGACACATCGTCGATAAATTCTTTCGGAAGGAGAAAAAAAAAAAGACAGAAACAGAAAAGTGTCGAACAGCTTCAACGGCGCAGTTTATTCGATTCCCGTCACGTATCTTGTCGCGACGGTTTACAGAGTTGGATGTACTTACCAGGTACCACTGTTCCTTGAAGAGCGGGTCCGTGAACAGGTTTTGGAGCGGCACGCCTCTGTTTCTTTGCCGATGGAACGCGGCGACCTGTCGCGGTCGCGGGCCAAAATCGCTGAAGAAGGGTTGATGATAATCGGTGAACGCGTAAGACGCGGCGCCGAAGTCGCGCTTCTTGCGTTTTTTCTCGTGCTGCTGCTGGAACCAGTGCACCTGCAACCGAAAGCATACCGGGTTCAACAAGGATTTCTTGTGCCACTGTGATCGACTTCCGAGCTTCGTCATCCCGCCATAAACTTCGGCTGACCCGAGGCCATTAGCCACCAGTTTTGTTATCTCACGTCGTTACGCTAAGTTCCACGCGACATTAATGTAAACCGGTACGTCGCAAATTTTCCTAAGTGCCCGGAATATTTTATCAGTGTCATCAGTCGGTTTTGTTGTTGGACGAATTATGGCGCGCGTTAATGATGTGGACGGACTACTACGCTGCGCCGAAAGTATGGAAGACATTTTAATTAGAGGCGAAATTATTAAGTAATTTCGCGTGATTTTCAGAATAAGTTACATATAATTAAATTCGCAATTAGATATAATGGCTGCGTTAATGAGATATTAATATCTAAAAAGATTAAAGAGATTAAGAGAAAGGTATATATTTAGTCACTAAATCATTATATTATCTTTGATTATATTTTTTCTTTCTTTTTCTAAATTATTAAATTTTTGAAAATCTATGATTAACGAGATTCACATACTCAATATTTAATTATAATTTATATGACAGTTTTATTACACTATATTTAAAAGGTTTTCTTTCAAAGTTAAAAATTAAAAATTGAAAGAGGAAGAGATACAAAATATCGCGATTTACTCTTGTTTTTTTTAAGACACCACAAAATTGCTCGCGGTATCATCGCTATGTTTCATTTCGTTGATTGGTTAAACAGTTACAGCCGCGATGTTGCGACGCGGAAAATTCACCGATGCAGATTGACTCAATCGGGAACCATAAATCGCGCAATCACCGAAAAACGCCTCGGGGAACAAGCTTTAATTCTAGCGCACGCCGCGTTTTCTCCTCCCGTTTTCATTCATAGCGCCGTGCTCGTCCAGACACGCAATGCGATTCGATGCTCCGATATCGCGGACAGATTCACAACCTCCACATTTTGGCGAGATTCCAAATTCGCCGGGATAAAACCAAGCTAGTTTCACGGTCGTGTCGAGGCAACGCGCTATCGCAGGAATTCAAAAATATTCGAAACAGCACGATGATGCGCGAGTGAAGAATTTGGTGCATGTTGTTCCAGATCGATTATTAAACACGCTGAAAGTTTCCTAAAATTAAACGATTATGGCAGTCATGTAGTAAAATAGCAGTATAGCAGATGTTGCTATCTTCTCTTATGAATAATAAATAGCTGCAGATAGAAATACAAATTTTAAAATACAGTTTGCACAGTAAAAAGTTTTTATTATTATTAAGACACTAGATTTTGCGACTATTCGCGGTTAATTTTAGCTGCTAATATTTAGAATTTTTTATTGTAATATTTAAGAAATAATTAATAAGATAGAAAAATTATTTTTCCGAGCAACATTATCTCGCTTCACTTTGCCACGTAAAATGTTAAGTTTGATGAATGCAGTATAACGCAATTTCGTTTTTTATTATGCGAATTATACATTCCTCATAGATATGCACGTCGGCGTACATATTATATGATGGTTTAACCGCCGAATCATTTATTTTGCAGCTGTCAAAAGGTCGTTGTTTGCTGAACGTGAAATATCGAGCCGCTTCTTAGTGAAAAACTAAATAAAATTTATCCCTGGCACATAAATCGCTGATGAATATCCGGTTGACAGCGAAATATCTAACAAAAGTCATCTTTTATCTCAAATTCTTAATTTCCCAACAGTCTGTCTGATAATTTGACCAGCGAAAGTTGTGAGATTAAAAGTGCAAGCGTGAAAATGTGAAGATCTCCCTACGGAACATTTGCTTTATTTCAATTTTCCGGTAATTATTTTTTTCAAAAATAATATATTTCTCGTTAGATATTTAATAAAAAAATAACATTTATCCACTCGGTGTGAGTAGCACAAGACTTTTACAAAGTAAACAAGTGAAAGATGAAATGTCGCTCGTCTATTTTTTAACGGACAATTAAGCGGTTAATTAAGCGTGCTGCATAATTAATAAACAGCCTGTCACGATCGTTGAGATCCGCGAGAGATTTCCCAGTCACGTATCCATAGCCTCGCCAGCCATAAATCCCGGCCATCTCTGAGCACGGCGCATTCGGAGGAAGGAGGGGGGAAAAAATGTATCTCGCGCGGAAGTTACCGCACATCCGGCCCGTGCAAATGGCATTTTCCTCGCGATCACGTGCTCTTCAAGCATAACTCATAATTAATGTTATATGGTATTGCGCGGTCCATCCGTGTGAGCTGCACTTCCCTCTCTCTCTCTCTCTTCCGTTCTCCTTCTCTCTTCGACGTGATATTTTTCCGACCATTTCGCCTGCCTTTCCACTCTGCGATTTTCATCCACGTCGAGAAGGGGCTTATCGAGACGAGGACAATGGCGGAAAACGCGGCGACGACAATATTGTCTCTCGAAACAGTGAGATATTTTGCCGTGTCCTCGTGAGAGAAGGGACGACGAGAGTTTCTCGGAGAGTGCACTTAAAACGCCCACCAGGTATTTCCCGCGCGAGTACTAAGGTGATATTATAGTGAAAAATTCGGAAAATCCACAGGTAGCAAGGAATTTCATAAAGTATTTATGGTTCTGACGGATTTATGGTTTATCATCGCCAAATAATGGTCCATAAAATGCAAATTGCACTATTTTATTTTTGCAGATAAATAAATTATATTTGGAAAATTTATTATTGAAATTAATTTCGAAAATATACCGCTGTTGTGTGAAAAATATATTTCGTTTTGTAAAATTATAGTTTTACGTTTTAAACATTTTTTTTATATCGCGCTGAAGTTCAGCGTTTGTCACAACGCTAAAATTTAAACCAGAATCAAACAAAAAATATATTTCTGGTCGATTAAAAAAAGGAAGAAACATCTTTTGTGAGATACATATACTGTTATACCGCTGAATATTCCGTCACTGCGACGGAATATTCAGCGATAGAAAAACTGCACTGTAAACTAGAAAATGATTTTTTGAAGGCACCAGAGCTATGTATTGAAGAAAAAAAAAGCAATGCTTTCATGACAGGACTATTTACACAACACACACGATGCATTTCGCACAGCTTGTTCTCCAAATATTCCGGCACAGAGCTCGTGCTTTCGGCTTTTGGCTTTTTTTACTGCTGTTGCAAAGATGATAAAGCGAGTTTTCCCATGGAGATCAAATGACACGTTTAAAATACCTTTTCACCAGAGAATTAACAATTCAAGTATGCATTTAATAATTATCAGAAAATCGTTAAAAATTTCCAGCACGCTTATCGGTCAGAAAATGTTTGTATTATTTTTCCGAAGAATTTCAATTACAGTTCATGCGTAATTCTGTAATCTCACCTTAGGCCAAACAGCTCGCTCACGAGAACGTTCCCCGCGATCGTTCACGTGCCTTGGGCAAAATTGGTCAATTAAGCAGTTTGTCGAAAGGCGCACGGCTTTTGCGCTGATGGCTCGTTAAGTGTTCGACTTCAGCTAACCGATTTAACGGTCTCTTATGGTGATCGTAGAATTAAATTCTCTACCTTTAATATTACAGGCTTCGTAATTATCGAATCGTTAACGCACTCAATAAATTCGTAAAATACCCGCTGTTCTTTATACGTTTATTATCGCTTGCAATTATAATTATTTCATACTTACGTTCATCTGTTTTTATAGAGCGCGCATTTTGTTATTTAATCTTTTATGCATTAACGATAATTAATCTTCTTCTAAACCAACCCGGCGCTGTTATTCACGATTATAATTATTCTATCCTATTTACGTTCGCTTATTTCTCTCATCACATTTTTTATTCGAATTTTGCGCGTTAATAATAATTAATCCTCTCGCAGAACGAAATTTTTATTTCAACGTTCAAAATTAACATTTTAGTAGATTTCGCGAATGTGAAATAAATCTGCTGCAACTCTCAAACACTGCTCTTTGAGTATAAAGCGAAACGCGCTCTCGTGTGCGTCTAACAATTAGCATCTCTTAATTAACAGAATACAAAGATGCGTAGACTTACCCGTGGTTCATCCCTGAGTGCCTTGTGATGCGGTTCGCTCGCAATGAGGGACCTTTTATGCAGCCGCTTGTGAGAGAAAAGGTAATAATTCTTGAGGGCACCAATCTGAAACCGAAAAATAAAGCATCTCGTTATTATTCTGATTCGTGCTCGGTTTAAGAGAGCGAGCACAGACGTAAACATGAAGTAGCAGGAGGGAGAGCTCGCAAGTTTCCTTCTTGCGACTCCTCGATGGCGTTTCGATGCTCTTGTGACTCGATATCGTTTCTGCTAAAGTTTGGCAGTTACTCCCCAAGTACCGTTCCTAAATTATATGGCGGAACTTGCTAAATCCCGTCTACATTCATCGCCGTGTTTTCTGCAGACGATAAATGTTCGCTGCCGCGCGTGATAAATGATATGACCATCGCGAACAGGCAGAAGTAATTGTTTCAGCAGCGTTAAATTTTAATCGGCCAGCGTAGCATGTGTGCCGCATTGCTTGCTTCGCGATAGCCGATATTGCAATCGAATCGACAAGTTCTGGTGGAATATTAAAAAATTATATATTTATGCATTATTATGTATCATTTATATATTATACAAATTTTCAAGCGGCATTTAGCATCAAAGCTTTATGTTTTCGCATTCAACGACTTCCGGTCGCAACGTTAATGAATGACGTGCACGCGCTTATTGGCTCTCATTTTGGAAGTTTAACGCGATCCATTAGAGATAATTGGCAGCTTATTGGACGCCGAGCGGTTATAATTATATTTATATGTATATGTAGTGCACGAGAGCAAACAGGTAAAGTGGCGACGTTTCAGTTTGGCGGTCGATGGAAATGATTGTCCATAATTCTAGGCGTGGGCCACGCTCCAATAACGCTGCGTATATATCGAGAATAACTAATAAACTATTTGGCGATCTGATATTCGGAGATCGTGAACCTTAATTAAATCACCGAGGCATTTCCATGAAAGTAGCTTTAGAACGAAGGTATGGAATGTTGAAATTGATATTCTCGGATATTTTCGTCCACCCGTTATTAATGTTCCGCAGAAAACTGTAAAAAACACATTTCCTCTTGTAAATATATCTAGAAAGCTGCTTTGAGTCACTGTTTTATACGCATTTCTATGACTTATTTATACAAATTCTCATATTTAATGTATCTATATTGAAAAAAACACCAACTGTCTCTGAAAAAGATAATATCAATCAATTTTTTTAGCTTATTTCTTCGTAAGCCAAAAAATTGATAGGCCTAGCAATTTAGAATTTACATTTTCTTCACTGTAATGCATTGAAATCTTATATTTTAAACAAAGAAGTGGTGTAGAATGTTTTTAAAAAATAATAAACTATTCGATATTCGATGTTGTCTCTCTTATTCTATTATTATGCATCTTTTCCGCGCTAAGTAAGCTGTACGTGACAATGGTTTGGCAAACAATGGCACGTACTGGCCCGTGTCTATGATTCACAGGTGCAGAGCTTCCGCATTACTCTGATATTCCCCAACGCTTCGAGAAGAAGTCGTAAGGAAACGACCTCCGAAACGGTGCAACTTTCGCCGGCAGGATTTTCCTAACCGGAACGAAAAATCAACCAAAACCGCACCGTGCCGCGAAGTAGAATCACTTCCCAAAGCTGTTTTTGCGCCGCCGATGCATTACACGTGTCGCCTACTTGAAATTCTTCCGTGGCGCCTTCCGCCGGAGCTACGGCACGAAAATTGAAGAGCAACCCGCGAGGAACTCGAACGCGCAACTCGCAGGAAAAAAAAAGGAAAAGGAAGCGCGCGTTTTATTTCGCCATCGAGCTCTACCCGAAATTTTCGCGGCTAACTCGAGACAACTACTTCGATGCTCTTCCGGGTTTCTCGAAGGATCTAAGTAGCCGAAGAGTGGCAAAGTGCATCACTCTCTCTCTCTCTTCGCTTCTCTCAATCTCGAGTTATCCTTCGCGTGAAAGAGAATTACTCGCCCTACTTCTTTCACTTTAGCCATTTTTATCTCTTCAGAAACAACGTACAACGTGAGTTTATTTTACTTGAAGAACTATGTTCTTGCGTTCTTGTCGCAAAGTGATGTTTAATACACTTCCAGGAAATATATTCTTCAATATTATCACATTTTATGTTACATCTTGAATCCTTGCAAATCTAATCGATAAATATGAATTAACAGTAAACCTTTTAATTTCTACATAAATATCTATCCTTTAAATATAATCGACAAAAAAGCTAAATATATAACCGAAGAATTCTGAATTCCTCAATATTTTTATACAAACTTTTATTTCAAGCTGGCAGAAACGTTTCGCTCGCGTAGATACCGGTTTCAAGCCACGTTGTGCAGAGAAAACAGGCGCGGCGAGTAAAGAGAGGCGGGACTATCGTTATCTCTCGAAGATATTTCGCGGGGTTGATGGGGCATGCCTCGCTAGTTTCACTAGCGGCACTGTAACTCGGCCGGCGACGACGCCGGAAGGCCCGTTCGCATATTTCCGTATTCCGCTGGCAATTTTACGTCCAACTTGTGCACGGCACGCTCGCTGGTTCCATGACGCAATTTCACAAGGGCGGGTTCAAGGACTCGCTCGAAGGCTTCCTCCTTCCGGCGCGACCAAACGACGACCGCCGAAATTCTCGCTCGACCGTGCGGAATTTTGATAATATTCCTGAGTGCGCGATTATTTCGAGAGCGTGGAAACGATGTGCCCGGCAACGATATTAATCTTGAACTCAGTAATGCATCCTATAAAATATATCTTTAATTTTAATCTGTATCTCTTGTGAACTGTAATTGATATTAGAAACTAGTTTGTAATTAATAGATTAATTAATTTATGATCTATGACAAAAAGTAATGATAACAATCGGAAGTTATAACTTAAACAGATCTCGTAGTAGTTTTCAAAATATTTTTTTACGTTCTTGAGAACTTAAGAAAGATAAATTAAACAGATATTAATTAACGAGATAAAAAACTTGATTAAATTTCAGTCAATTAAAAAATTATATCTAATTTTTGACATGAGAAATTTACATTTTGCATTTAGATGATTTTTCTCGCAAAAGTTCCTCACATGATCTATGGCTGCAAGGATATTCGATAATTTTGTAGGACATCAAATATATATTCAAAAATTCGATTGAATGCTCAAGTTCTTTCGTTCACAAGGATGACGATGCTGAGACGGGAGGGGTGGGGGGGGGGGTGAGTCACGTCGTCGATATTAAAAATGACGAAGCACCGAACTTTGACGCGGTCTCTCGCTCTATCGCGATCTATCGCCATAAGAGACTTGGAGACTCCCCAGAAGAGACTTTTCCCGCGCGTTTGTTATCGGTCGCATGAGTGATAGATCCCCCGGCTTGCTTTTCAGGCTCTTACGTCATCCGCTCCATTAACGGCTCACTTCCAGTCGGAGAGCGGCGCAATAAAGTGAGAAAGACGTCGGCGAATTGGACTGATTCGTTTCCGACGCGATTAACGTGGAAACTCCCGCGTGACTCCGCAGGCCGCCTTCGCAGCGTCCCATTGTGAAGAAATTCGCCCGCAGTCGAAGTAACTCGAGCTCGAGCAGCTGCGGAAGAAGTCGGTAAAAAATCTCGCAGGATCGGCGCGGAATATACGATGATCCGAATCGACAATTAAAATTTCCGTAAGCGATTCTTATAAACGCCCCGGATGCGGGATCACCGCTGATTCCAACGGTAGGCGTCGAAAGCACGCTCTATCGCAAAAACGCTAAATGGAGCAAATGGGTCGACTGCTAAGAGACGGCGAAGTTCCTTCGACAGTGACCAACGTTCCCGTCGGCCGTAGAGCCGTGCATCACTCGCGACGTCGGCGAAATCCTCGATCCCCATCGTCGACCTTGGGCGCTTCTCGTGAAATCCCCTAAATCCATCCGGTAGCTTTTCGGAAGCGATAGCGCCGTCGCGTTTCCGCTCGCGTTTCGACGCGCCGCGGGTAATCCCGATGGGAGATACTCGTCGCGGCAGCTGCGCGCGAGCGGGCAGGTAAAAAGACGAGAAAATGGATGAGAGTGGCGGCGATGGTGGTGCAGGAGGCGGCGTTCGCGGAGGTGGGAAGCGGCGTGGAACGGGTAGCACAATGCAGCGCAATTTATTAATACTCTGGGACTCGTAGCGCCCTCAGGAGCAAACGGTGAAATAGATATGCCAGCCGAACGAGTGAACGAGCAAGCGAGGAGGGGGGGGGGGCAGGACCTGTTACAGGCCTGAACAGAAGTGTCAGGGCGGAGTGTCCTGTTTAAAACGTACGGCGCAATCTGCGAGAAAATTGCGGTATAATATAGCGTGAAAAAACGCCAATTGTGCCGCAAAATAAAACGTTAGTTCTTATTAATCTGTGATGCATTTTCCCTTTAACGGAATTCTAATTTGGAGATCAGTTGCAAAAATGCTTGAAGTGAAATGCGATAAAACATATAAAACAGACTATGAATTATATTAACAAATTTAATCAGCTTTCAACTTTAACAAAATTATAGTTTAAAGGTCTCGATATTTTAGAAAAAATTGATATAAAATAAAAGATGTATCATTAATAATCGATATAACAGGAACGAGACGCGTTACGAATATTTATGCGCGCATTTTATTTTTAAAGGCTGATCTATGCCACCTTACGTAACCAATTTTTGTAACAATTTTACAAACGTGTGCGGGCAAAGAAATCTGACGGTAGATGTTATAACTGCAGTGAACTTAATTGTAACATCAAGATGATTTCTTCCGGCGAGCTGAACGCCCTTTGATGGCGTACTTAAATCCACTTTATTTATCGAGCCGCCCCCGCAGGATTCAGTACGCCATGACGCGGAGTCATAAGATCCAAAGAAGAGATAGAGCGGACGATTTATCATCCCGTGTCTGCAACAAGCTTGCGTTAAGGTGCATGCACACTGAGCCAGTTGTTTTAACATGTTGAAGACACGTGAGACTGATCATTTAAACTAACTATTAGCTATCGATATTTATTATATTTTAATAGTAATGTACGATCGCTTTCATTTTAAAGCTAGAACACTTTGAGACATTGAAAACATTTAAAATATCTTGGAAATATTAACATTGCTAAAAGTAT